CTTAACTGTTACTTCCATCTTGTAGCATATCACCAGGGAAGCATTTTTAGGTAAACATAATTACAATGTAATTTTAGGTACATTGAAATTACATTCTTAGTCATGTGTGATATTATAAAATGCTACTCAACAGTTATATTAGGCTTTTGGTTTTTTATGATCCCACTTTCTATCCCAAGACCATAACAACACTTCAAATATAATTAAGCCCTGATAAAATATTTCCATATCCCAGTCTATTATGCACACTAAAATGAAAGTCAAGTCAAGTTTAATGCCAAACATTTGTAACCAGGCTACAACAATTGCAATAATGTCTCTAAACTCTTCTCATTAGTGAGGTAGTGTAACTTAATCTTCCACTTGACGTGAAACAAGGCTTATATAGTGACTACATGGTCATTGTAAAAGATAACGTTATGCGGCGTAGCATGAGCCCAAATACATTTTATTTGTAATTTTATTGAAGATTACAAATTATCACCAATACTTTGCAGTTTTGTAGTAATCACATGATTATTTTGCTGAACCTTAAATCAAAAATAATATAAATGGATGATAAGGCATTTATGAACAGTAAAACATATGATCTGAATCTGGTCTTTCACAAGAAGATGAAGTGGCTTCATGCAAGTATTTTTATTAACCATTAGCACGGATGATGTATACCTACGATGTGGTGAAAAAGTATTCGTGTTCTTCCTGATTTCTTTCTCTTTTTTGAGGAATATTTGTCACACTTACATGTTCCAGATCATCAAACTACTTTTGATATTGGACAAAGATAATCAGAGTAAACACAAAATTCTGTTTTTAAATGTTGATTTTCATTTTAAGGGAAAAAGCTATCCAAACCTGGCCCAGTGTAAACCTTTAGATCGTGGGATGTTGTGTTGCTTTTTGAGATCTTTTAGCCTGCTTTAGTTTGTCAGACAGGTTGTTCTGAAGTGATTTTGTGGTCCATTAGGTCTGGCAGTAATCAGGCTTCAGCGTGGCAGGTGAAATCAGCTTTCTAAAAAAATGTGGTTACAGTTAATTCACGATGTAAGAAGGGGTCATCCACATAAGGCCAGTAGGTTTGTAGGTCATTACGTAAAAACTGCACTTTGTATTTACTTGGAATGTCTAATATTAGATTGATAGTTCGATATATGTAAGTATGGCAAATGCGCAAAAGAAGGGAGCAAATATACTTTTTTGCAGCACTGTAGATATATTTCCAAGGTTATGATGTGGACATGCCTAGTGCATCTCATTTACAAGCTGAGAATAAAAGCATCCGCATGTTGCGCAGTAATATTTTAAATATGTCACCCTGTCCTTCAAATTTGCCTGTGTTGTGAGAGATCACAGATCACCACAAGATAAACTCACTTTGTCTCACTGCTGCCTCCCGGTGGAAGATTTGGGAAATTTAATTTGCGTTTGTAAGGTCTCAATTATTTTTAATTGCGGCTCTATGCAGGACTGAAGATGAAAGCCAGTATGGAGATACCCACTGAAGAGTCAAATGTCGAGAAGCTCATTTACCGAGCCTTCCGCATATAGCATTTCAGTTCACTTATGGAAGCAATGACTGAAGCAGCTCTGTCCCAAAGTGCATTGTCCCATAATCCCCTGACGCTGTTGAGTCGGCATTGCTGCGTGTTAAACGACTATAAATAGTCTTCCTCCACTTGATCAGCCCCTAAAAAATGTCACAGTTCACAGGAAATTTAAAACATAGACCCTGAAAATGTGTGGCTGCTGCAATTCAGAGTCTGCCTGTAAATGCACATCGACTTGGACAGTGTTCATTTGAGACTGGCATGTTTTCACCTGTTGGTGGAGCTGTTGATGTGAGAATGCGCAGTGTGTGAGCCAGGAGAAAGGGACCAGATTATAACAGAGATTTCCAGACAAAGAGGGAGAGGATTAGGATATAGAGGAACAGGGAAGGATACACGCAAGAAAAACATGCCAGTGGATCATCCAGCTTCTGAAACCACTTTCCTCTGCTTATATATATATATAGAGCTTATACTCTCAACTGTATATGAGTATAAGCCTCCTGTGTCCATACAGTATCCATATGGAAATATTTATGAGCCTGCCTTCATAGATACATATAGAGAGTCTTCTTCACCATTTCTTCCTTGATAGTCAACACTAACAGACTTTGCAGGAGCCTGACTGATGGGAACTTAGCTGAACTCCCCACTTTGAAATGAGCATTTTCATTTATTTCACTGTCGTCTGTGGGGTGAACACGATTTGCATAGATCCCTTCCTTACACCCTCACCTTTTGCATAATTGATACAACTGTCATCTCTCTAACCATAATAACATCATTCCAAAGGGAGCAGAGAGAAATGAATCTTGGCATTTGAAGGTCTCGAGCAAAGATTAAGATATCTCCTGAGCTGTCACCTAAAAATATACATAGAATATGTCAGGAATCAAATCAATACTGGCACATTTGCTTGATTTTCCTAATGAAATTCAGTATTGATTTGCGTAAAGCGCACATGTTGAATTTCTTTGTAAGTTACTAGTGCAGCGAGTGCTGCCATAGAAGCTTGAACAAAGGCATGTGTCGAAGTCTATGGAGTCTTTTTTTCTTAACTGAAATGGTGAAATGAAGTCACACACAATCATGTCCTCATCTGTAACACGATGTTTCCTAGCAACATGTGTCTACAGACCAGCGTGCACCTGTCCATGTTTAGATGATTTCTATCAACTGCTATCAACGTTACGAGAACGATTGAGGGAAATGCAGACACATCTTATGACCCGAGCGATAAATTCCACAAATCCCATCACGATAAAAAATTTTTCCATTTGGATCATAGAAGAAACTTCGCATCCAATTTGGTCTCGGTGTAGCTGCGTTGCCCGACAGATACTCTTATAAAACAATTATTACACCAAATATATTGAAATATGCCAATTCTGATGTGTTCACACTCAAAGCCTCAAGCCTTCAATATGAAAGTTGGGACAGTTTTTAGATCATAAGTCACGACGTATAGCTGTGGTATGTCTACTGCTACCTGTAAGTCTGCAACCAACATGATGACTTCTTTAAATTAGCTCTGACTTAGAAAGCACTAAATAAATATTAATGATAAACACTATACTGTTTTACAGAGAGTCTGGTCTTTCTTTACCAGAAACCATGGATTTATCCTGTGTTATTGGTAGTGTAGTTTAGTGTTTTAATCCTTACTAAGTTAAGAATTGCTGTTGATAATTTGGTAGGATTTGACCAGACAGAGCTTACACCCCTGCTGTTTGGGCAGTTTTATTTTTCATGTGCTTTGCTCTCTGTTTCACCATGTTTTTATAAGCTCCTCCCCTAAAACAGAGGGGAGCAGAGTTGATTTATCAGCCAGCTTATGCAATATATTTAATGCTTTAAAAGCACTTCCCTTTCAGAGTCTGATTTCCTTACAGATACTGATAGCTGTGGTATGTTTAGTATTGATTGTGGTATTCATTAATCAATATCGTTTCTTTGGATTTTTTGGAGAATTTTTAAATGATGATAAACACTGTCAGTTCAAATTATCAGTTTGAAGACTCTTCAGTAAACTGGCAGGCCTGTTTACCGGTGTCAGGATTGTAGCGTCAGAACTCTTGATATTTACCCTAAAGCTGATGATTGAGGAAACTCTCCTAATTCTGTCAAATCTGCATGGACACACCTGTCACTCATTCACCTGTTGTGCTTCCATCAAACTAAAACACTGTGTAATAGGCTGAAGGAATCTTGTAAGGGGTTACTACTCAAATTCTGGAGAGGCAAAACAACAAGTCAGTGACACATGAAAGAGATGGATTTAAGCATGCCAGTGGATCAGAGTGCCGCTCTGCACCTCCCTGCAGAGAAGGTAATGAGAGAGTATTTTTGTTTGGATGGGTCTGGATGGGATCCAGATACTGACAGAGCTGGTCCTTGCTTATTTGTCTGAGACGGAGGATCAAATCCTACATGAGAAAAGGGAAAGAGCCCAGGATTGAAATGCATGCAGTATAAACCAATAATGACAGGATGCATATTTGTGTTACTGGACTGACCCAGTCCTTACGAGAATATAAACTTGGGCTTTGTTCTTTATTTTGACGTTATATTTTGTATTTACGGGCTTTTCTTTCTCCCCGGCTGGCGGAAATCTCCAGAAGCGGCTCCATCATAACTAAAACACCCTATGCACCATGGCCATTCTCAAAAGGTGACCATGGATTTTTATGTTAATACCATTATAATACTTCATTGTCTGAGACTTTAAGCTGTTCGAAAGAGTCTCGCAATGCCACACTTGAATACAAAAGTCAGTGAAACCCCAGAAGTGTCCCTTTTGTCTACAAGCAAGAGCAGAAAGTGGGTTAGCTGCTTGAAAATGCATCCTAAGCAGTGCGCATAAGCTAGAAGAGCTTAGTGAAGCTAGGAAGACTTTGAGAGTGAAAGTCATTTGGTGTCTCTTCAGAGTTTGACAGGGAACAGCACAAAAACGGAGAGGTGTGGAACAGAGCTCTCGACTGACTGGATGGAGAGCAGAAACAGATTACATGGCTATTTGATCAATATCAGCACATCAGCTGCTAGGAATAATGTACAATGAGCGCAGTAT